GCTGTGCGTCAGTCGGTACTCAGCTGTACTGTCTTCGTGCATACTTTGAGGTATTCTCGTAATAACCTCATATTATCCATAACTTTTTCGTTGAACACACTGGTTTAACAAATGTTTTTGAAAAATTTCAGATACTTACAACAGAATTCACTACTATACATTTGCGAAAAATGCATTAGTTGATTTCTATTTGTGAGTTAATGTTGTCAAGTTTGTGATGAGACTATGATTTTACAGTTATATGGTAGCACACCTCTAAATTTAAAAAAAAAATTACACTCGATCATAATACTTGGTTATCATATCAGTGACTTTCAATCAAATTCAAGGTACGATGTTTTTGTTTTATGTTTTTTTTTAACTCTGTTTTATTTCAGTCTAAAAACCATGCAATTGTTATAAAAAGTTTTGATTTAGATGCTGATGGAGTTCCTGAACTTATAACTGGATGGAGCAATGGAAAGGTAATTAATGTACACATCTAACACAAGTGAAAATTAAAAGGCAGGTATTTTGATAATTGGGAATATGCATGAATGATTGTATCATTACTGCTTTCATTGTATTGCACTAAATACCATAACCATCAAATATGGTGCTTTTAAATATTATGTTTCGATAGTTATTGCAAAATGACTCAGTGTGAACTCATCGTAAATAAATGTTACAACTTTATAGAGTATCAAATTACCATGCATATTAATAAGGTGTTTTGATACATAACATCATAGTTGATTTGTGTCATTTTTATGCCCAAAATAAGTTTACATTGTACTTCACAATCAAAAACAATTTCTAAAACAACTGTATTTGGTTCAAGTATGATGTTTACAAAATGTGTACATTGGCTTCTTTGCCTGTAATTCAAATCCTCACTGAGTGATGACTGTAGCATTTGAAAGTCACAAATAGGTAAGTTTGGGATGTACAATCAAAATGATAGACAGCTTTATGTCAGACCTAAAATGTGATTTTGCGTACTGCATGAAAGGCATCTGTCAAAATTCCTATCTTTCAGGGAGGAATATGATGTTGAGATATCTTTACTTGACCATCATTATATATAGCACACTAGTAACTGTGGAAACAGCCACAAAATTGTTTCACGTTTGTTGAATCCCATGCAATCTTTTGATGCAACTACGACCTTTGCTTGTCGTCTTTTTTTATGTTCAATTTTGCGCATCATGCTGGATCTTGCAGGGAATGGAAAATGTTCTATTGTAGAGTAGCATTAAGACTTGTATTTCCAAATAACACCATAATATGTTACTAAGTTATGTATTTCCATGTTGTATCTAGATTGATGCTAGGAGTGATAGAACTGGTGAAGTGGTCTTTAAAGATAATTTCTCAGTATCATTAGCTGGAATTGTAGAAGGTGATTATCGTATGGACGGAAAAGAAGAACTTATTTGCTGTTCCATTGATGGAGAAGGTCAGAATTACACTATAGTTTACATGTATTATAATCACCATACATATAAGAGTCATTGGTATACTCATCTTCCAGTTTAATTCTTCTTTTAGTTCGTGGATACTTACCTGCCAGTAAGGACATGAAAGGCAATCTAATGAACACCAATGTAGAACAAGATACAATTAGAGATTTGAGTCAAAGGAAACAAAATCTACTACTAGAATTGAAAAATTATGAAGAAAATGCACGGGTAGGTATATTGATTGTGATTGGACCTCGTTCAAACATAGTCACCTCTGTATCTCAGACATGCCTGTGCCAGTTATATTCAAATTTCACACACACATTACACATCATGCACAAGTATTTGTTTCATGAGCCAATTCAGGCTCTCTGAATGACAGCAATTTTAATGCATAAAATTCATCAAAATCATTAAGCTTTTCCAGAACTGGATCTTAGTTGTGCATGAACATATCTCATTCAAACTTGGTATCTCAATTGAACATACTAGGTCTTTGGTGTACATCATTTTTCCCTGAATTTTCATTCAATCTAGTGTTGTACATGCAGGACTTAGGTCTGTGTGGCTTTGGTTCATGTCGAAAAGCATGTCAGAAAATTGTTTCGCAGTTTTGCCAAAAGAAAAAAAAGGTAAATCATGCATCAACAACATGCATTATGCATTCCCTTGACTTCATTTGTTTATAGGCTGGCCAACAAGGAAATCAACCCAAAGACTTTGATTCTCAAGATATGGGTATAATTCCTGCCAATACTCAACTGCAGACTTCATTGGCAGTAAACCCTGGAACTGATGGTAAACAGGTAAGTCAAGTATATGCTTTCATCCTACATGAAGTCTGACAATGATTGGCCATATTGTAGTATCATCACAATAAACCTTAAATGCAAATGGCACCGGGATCTCGTTGAATGCAATAGGTCCCCAAGACTTGTTTTGCTCTTCATATAGTGTTCCATTTCTATCATCAGGTAAGAGAAAATAGAGCACTAGTTGGGGGCAAAAACACGTCTTGTGATCCCAGCATCTATTTGCAACTAACGTCTATTGCATTTTGTGGTAAACAGATTTTAACTCCTAATAGGCGTGTTTCTATGTACTGTAGAATACTCTATTTTCGCTATTTTCGCTGAAGGGATGATTCCGTGAAAATAAAATCCAGCGAATATACATTTTTTCCTATATTTTACATTAATCTCATCAAAAATCAGTGAAAATAAATTCTAAGCAAAACGCCCAAAAAGCCTTTTCAGCGAAAATAAAGTATTCCACAGTAGTTAGGACCAACATACAACTGTTTTTCAGAAGTAAATGTTTTCACTTTAGAAATAATTACTTCATGTACATAAGATAGACAGCGTTGAATCTCAATGCACACTACTGTAATACATAACAAAAACAAAAGAAGAAGACAACTACCATATCCATGTGCTCTTTAAATTCAGTAATAGATCCAGGAGGTGTGATTTGCACACATCGGATACATAACATTCATTAGGGATTAAAATTGGGAATTTTTTAAACTGGAATATAATTTTTATTAAACAGATGATTTGTGCTCACAGACTATATTGCATAGCACTTTAAATTGATACGTTATTAAGAGGTACGTCCATCGTAGTTGTAACCCAAGGTTGAAAATTTGTGTGTACACACTTGCCATACACTATTTAAAACATACATTAGAGTTATTCTGCCTACTTCTCTATCTAATCTTGCTGCACACTTACCCATTTATTCACCTGATGAGTGGCATAATGGTTAGCTTGTCTGCCCAGCATCAGGGAGATTATGGGTTTGACTTCCATGGTCATCTGCTCACTAACCAGTGAAAGAAAAAAATTTACAGCATTTATTGTTTGGAGAATGGTATTCAGCCGGAGAGATGTAAAGTTTTTACTTCTGTATAGTTTTTGTTCTTCATGCACATAAAAAAAAATGTTGTCGCAGCAAGTAGCAAATCACCATAACATGACTGAACTTACCCTTGTTACAGGATTTGGATTTGCAAGTCGTTCTTTTTTTAATAAAAATAGGTCTGGAATAAAATTCAAGTTTGAGAATAATTATAAGTTTTATATTCCTCTTATTTGAAACATACCATAGTTATTTTGGATTATCTTTAATAACCATATAACACAGCAGTCTTCAATTCTATTTAAAACATATTTACAAGTTTGAAAATTTCACTTCAAAGAATAGTAAAAAAACATAAACAGATTATAAAACAAATAAAACAGGGACATGTTTTGATTTTATGAAAAAGTCTACTACTAACCATTACTTACCATATGTATACTGGTATTTGTCAGTTAGCTAAACACACTCAATAAAACAAATATATTTGTAGTGATTTATTTCTCATATCCTAGATCCAGTATCAACCAAACATGATTTTTTAAACAATTTGCATTATATATCAGATTATAACGTACAATACATTATTTTGTAGCCACATGTTGAGTTATGTGTATCCACTACCAATGATACTGTATTAAAAGCTGTCCTTATATTTGCTGAAGGTATCTTTGAAGGGGAAAGCCATGTTGTGTAAGTAATTATACTAATGTCAACACATGCCTTAAAATCATAATCCCCACTTCGCCACAATTTTATACAGTTTTTCTCAATATTGTAATCCACATAGCTCATAGCAGATTTTATTTTCTACTTGGATAATGTCTTGGGTATTATAGTTTTTTTTTATTTAGTAGAAAACTGTTGTTTTTCAAATTTCCTTACTTTGCAAACAGCTGTTTCAAAATCAAGCACTATTGCAATAACACTTTTTACCTTGCCCGTACCATCAAAGATGGAAGGGAAAGGTATATTAAGGGAAAGATTTTGTCCGGCGTTGTCGTTGTTGTTGTTGTCGTCGTCGTCGTCGTTAATAATTGTTATTGTGTGCATAATAACTTTACCAATTCTATTCCAAACTTCATCAAACTTGGTCACCTTATTCATCAGTATAATGTCTTCCCTGAGTTTGAACAATAGATGTCCTG